AGTTCTGAGATTAAGAAACATATTAAGAAATTTAGAAATGTGATTTTCTCAGCCCAGAAGCCTGTGATCTGAAGTCGTACATTAAAATATATAGTTCAACCGCTTTGCTTTGAAAACTCACTGAGACAACCAACATAGCCACAGATATTTTGCAACTTTTCTTTAAACCACAGTTTTGTTTATGCAATGTACAGATTAACATAGACTTAGCCTATGTTATCCTAGACCCATGAATTTTGGAATACATTTTAGTGACGTTAGGATTTCATTCTGGCTCACCTCATTGCAAGATGACAAAAACTACTCAAGCAGAGCAAAAGTATAGATCTAAAATAGTCCACCTAACTCAAATGTAAGAAACAATTCTGAGTATCATGTGCAGTTTCAGGCAAGAGTTGAACAAAAATAACATTCAGAACTGAGTTCTCACCATAATACTCAAAATGTGGTATATAGTTTAGTTCTACAAGCAAAAGTAACTTTGAGAGGGCCTTAAAAAAACCAAACAAACTTCCTGCCATTTTGTCACTTCATGTAAGACATATAGATCACTAGGTTTGCGTGGCAACCAAGGGCATGAACTCTGCCAAGTGATGATGAAGCGAAGATGTTTAATGTTTTATTTTTACAGCATATATAGTTTCTCTCTTTTGATCATGCGCCGTGCTCTCTACACAGACAGGCTGTGGGGCCTGTCCACGCGCCGTTGTGAGCAATACAATTGGCTACGTTGAAGTGTTCATGCGCCTATGTTATCCAAACATTTATTATCTGTTATTTTCCTCACTAGATTTCATACCACACAAATAATACCATATCAAGACATTGTTTTACTATTCTCAAGGCTTCCTTCCCATCACTGCAAGAACACCTGCCGAGCTCTCACTCAGCAGCGCGTCTCCACAATTCCTCACTCCCCACAGGCTTGACTGTGCTCAAATGTATATCGGACAATTATTTGATGCTTATGTGTGCATGGCCTGAAAGATAATATTAATGGTTTATATTAACTTAGTTTTAAATTTGTTAAAGCTGAATATTCAAGCTGAAATAGCAAGGTGAAAGCATTAGACTTTTATTTAAACATTTAATTTTTTGAATGCTGTGTTGCAACACAAATCTACACAGATTTCTGTTGTAAAGAAAAGTACTGGCCTTTTCATTTTCAAAGTAATTATTGTCTTAGCCCATCCCTAGGAATGACACCCATGACTGTGACATCTTTCTTCTTCTGTTTGCCCAAGCAGAGGATCTGTTCTTTTCCCCATGTCCTGGATGGCCACGTAGAACACTCTGTACAAATGCACATTTACTTGCCTAAATGCATTTAAAAATCTCTTGTGCATGGTTTGCAATTTAACATCCTATGCTATTTATTCCTTGCTGTCACAAAAATTAATTTATCATTGATTCAATCTGTAAAAGAGTCTTCTGGGGATTTCTGAAAATACCCCCCCTTCTTTTGTCTGAATATTACATTCCATTATTTACGTGATATTCTGAATTACAGTAATTGAGATAATAGTCCCTACGTGCTGCATTTTGTCATAAAAGTATTAGTTTATTTAAAAAATACATCCCCAAGAATTTTCTGGAAAATGTGTCATCTCAGACACAACACATCATGAGAGGAAACTATTTTTTATTCATGCACAGTTTTGAGCTGCTACAACCATTTTCTTCTAGTCTCGGTGAGTTTTGGATGTAACTGAGTTTTGAAGTTCAGAAAGTACTTCTTCTGGGTATGATTTTATTGGTATTATCTTAAGATTTTATGGCAAGCATATCAGTCTTCTGAAATTAGAGAATATAATTTCTCAGATTCTCAAAATGTCTTGTACAGATGAACATAACTCATGGAATCATTCCTTAATAAGCAGTACATTATGTATTATTTTCAAAAACAAAATTCATACACCTACACTTCACATGATACTTTGTATCTATGTGAACAATATTTTGAATATTATTTCTTTCTTCTCTGAATAAAATAAGGTACTTATTTAATTTATTCTGCTGAAGAAATGACGGTCAATGCATTGTTCCATTAACTATACCTAAACCTTCAATTTAGTGAAATTTAAATTTTAAATAAGCATTCCGAAACCTAACTAGCCAAATCCTCGATTTACAGTGTTCCTGGAACTGAATAATCTCTGGACACATCTAAGACTTTGATTTTCCCCACACTGAGGAGAATGAGGTACCTGCCTAAATGTCTCTGGAACACAGAACCAGGTACAACCAGTCAGCAAACCCATGCTCACTATGTCCAAAGGGATAATTCATGTCCCAAGGGATAAGGGAAAATCTCCTTCAGAATCCTGACCAGACACCAGCTTCTAAGAGCAGCCGGCATGTTGTTGCAATAAGAAGTCACGGTGACTTGTCAGTCATTCTGTCCCATTCAGCTTAAGTTCCTTAACATGTTCATTTTAACAAAATCATTGAAAATTGGCAACTTATATAAAACATTTTTACTTTTTTTTTTTTATTTAATCCTTCTGCTACTGTTGGAGACAAAGTGTATTTTTAATTCCATGAATAGACCACCAGAGTTGCTAACCAAACAGGCTACATTTAAATAAAAGTTTTAAGTTGAAAACGGTCAGAAGTGATTTATAATTATTTGATCATGAGGCTTTTTGAAAAATATAAAAAAACCCAGGAATGATAGCTTCTTGAAAATTGTAGTTGAGACTTCAATGTATATGTTACAGAGTTCACATTTTAGCTTTGTCCAGGCTTTCTTCCAGAGTTTTGCAGTTGTGGCTAATGTTTGCATAGCCTATTTTATTTTTCCAGTTGCTGTGCATTTGCTGGGGGCTTTCTTAGCTCCTTAGCCTTAGCCTCATTCTCAACCCACACAATCATATCATTTTAAAATTTTGGTGTCTTGAAATTTGATTTGTACAGACATAAATTCTGGTAGTTATTATATCTGTTGTTTTATATTCCAGAAAATAAGATGCAGCTGGGTGGCTGCTAGCTTTCTATATTGCTGTCATTAACCTAATTTTGGTGATTGTCAAAGATACAGAGAATGACTCCATTATGAGAATGGTATCTTCATTTTCCACATTTTCACAAATAGTATAATTACCTATTTTAGATATTAACTGTTAAAATATGACTTTATATATGAGTATTCTGCTTGCTTTGGATTCTAACTTAATATATTTTTTACCTGTAACAAACCTTGTGGTGCTCTGGACATCTGTAATTTGCATACCATTCCAACGTTACGTTTTATCACTCAATAAGATGCCCCTGTTTCACATTTGGAAGTATCTACGATAATTTTTTTCTTCAATAGGTGACAGAATGGCACATTTATTTTGGACAGATTTCTACAATAGCTCACACCTTCCAGGATTTCATTTCTCATTCCCTTCCAGAATGAAGCACGCTGCAAACTCTTAGATCAGCTGCCAGTTACCTAAATATATATATTTAAGGGACAAAGCCTGAAGGCAAGATTTCGCTTTGAAAACACTCCTTTCTCAGCGTGATACACACAGCAATGATGGCAAGAATAACATCAGCCACTGACTTGCTCTCTTATATTCATGTGGCAAGGTCACACAAGACCACAGCTGAGAGATTATTAGCATACTGCAATTATATGCAACAGTCAACGGCTATGACCACCTTCTCCTGCAGTGCCCTTCTAGAGCTACAAAAATCCTATGCACTGAAACCTTCATGCACTTTCCATCCAAAAACAGAGAAAGTGAGGGTGAGTATGAGTTTAGTAGCTAATCCCAGATACCTCCTTGCCCTGCCACTATGGTCGAATAGTTGAATCGCGGGATTTTTCAACTGGTTTTTCATCTTATGTCACCTAGTTGTTAGTAATGTCTGTGTGAAATTGTAAAAATGTTTCAATGATCTTCTCAAAAGACTCTCAAATACTGCAATGAAATTATACACAGTGTAACAGACAACCCACATTTTTGAAAACATGGCAACAGAAGTGTCCTTTGATAAAGCCAAATCTCCTATATCTGTTAATATTTTAGAAAATATTTAGAGATATGTAAAATACTGAAGAAGTATAGCCAGGACTCCATCATTACTGCAACACGAAGGAGCAACTACTGTGGCTTAAAACTGCTCACAGTAGTTAGCAATACCTCAACAGCTCACTTACTACATAGCCATTGCATGGTATTTCTAAAATTACAGTGGCTTCTCACCTGATCCAAGACATGCTAATGTGGTGGTCGTAGCACATCATTCATGAACGAATCACATTGAAGTCTACAGTATTTTTTGTAGATTTGGTAAGAACACTTAGGAATACAAATATTATGCTCATTTGTTTGTCCAAGGTAGTCTGCTTGTGTCATAAGGTTGTTCTACATTGAGAAGCACTGTAGGCTAAGACTCAAATGTCATCCTGCCTGAAACTTTCACATTTTGGAAAGATCAGTTAAGTCAGATAAAACTCCAAGATTGTTCACTATCTTCCACACAGCATGTCCCATTAATGCACTAGGAAATGTGATCACAATCATTTGCACTTATTTTAAGAAGCTGAAAAGCTATTCAGTTGTCCAGAACTGGAGTTTCAGAACTAGCGAGGATTTCTGTCTGGAGTAACTGCAAACCTGCCACACACATACAGACAGACAAAATGATGAGCAGGTTTGAAGAGTGAGTGGAGGGGTGCTAAAAACTTGGGCTGGGGGTTAATTTGAACTAAGTTAAATGCTGAAACGAAAAATATAAATGGCAACCCAACGTGGAAAACCTAAATCTATTTTGACAGCACACTATCAAGTGATGCTGTCTAAAACTGAGGTTGGCATTGACAATAGGCATTGACAAATTATATTAAAAGTCAAGCGTATTTTCTTCAACTGCTAACAGAGTTTGAAACTAACACAGGATCAAAATTCAGGCTGAGCATGATCCTTAGAACAATCACCATGCTGTTTAAGCACAAAACTAGATTTGCTATTGACAACCTGCTATATATTGACAACTTGCTATACCTGACTTTTTGAGGTTTTTTGTGTATAGCATCCACATGCTTACTGTGCCTCAAATCCAAGTTTAAAATCTGTAAAAAAAAAAAAAAAAAGTATTTGTGTAAAGCAATCGTCCAGAGACTTAGGTCATCATAATACAGATGTAGCAGATTGGTCAAATAGCTATAGTTGATAATTACTGATGCAACTTAAAATCCACAGTATTTTGAATTGCAATAGCTTAAACTAAAATTTAGTGCAGAGCTAATGCCAAGACAAAGACAGAACATTAACAATATTGACAAATTCAAAAGGTGCAAGATATGCAATATTATCTAATTTCACATTTAACCACCATGTGAAAAAGTGTCATTTATATACACTGAGAATATTAACAATACTTGCATACAAGAGGCCCATTTAACAAGAAACTGTTGGTTTTTTGTTGAGGCAACAGATTTTATGGAGAATTCCAAACACTAAATGGTTCTGTCCTGGAAGTTCAAGTGCTGGACTATGAACCTGAGAATGATTTTTAACCAGTAATAATGACATTCACTTACCACTGTTCCCATTCAAATTTACTGGTGTACACTGACTCATATTTATTCCTATTTTGGTATGTGCTTGGCTACTTCATTCTAGTTACAGGAATGTTATTCCTAAATTTCGCCTATTACTGAATGGCACACCATCTATCTAAAGAATACAAATAGTTCAGGGCAGAAGGTAGTTTTAAAGAACTTACACTATTAACTCAGATTGCAGTTATTCAAAAGTTAGAAGAGGTGTAAAAGTATTTTTTATTCATTGGCTTATTTCATATGTTTACTTCCAACAAAACTATAGAAAGAGGTATTATATTTAAAATCTCTATGCAAGCAACAAGATGCTAAAACCTAGCAGAAAAATAAAATTGGCATAACTGCTACCTAAAACATTCTCTTCCAAATAGTGTACACTCATTTTTCTCAGCTTGTATATTTTTTTTTATCTAAAGTTTTGACAAGGCAGAGGTTTTCCACATCAGCATCTCAGCTTTGCTTTAGGGTAATGTTTTTTCTCATGCTGGCATTTCTTGCTTTTCACTTAGCTTGTTTCTCTCTGTCCTCAAATCTCCTGAGTCACAAGCACAGATATGCTGAGAGTCTCACCAGCAAATGAGGCTTTCTCTGCCTGTGTGTAGGCCCATAACTCTGCTTAGAGAATGATAAGTTCCCCTCCAACGTAGCTCAATCTTAAAACAGCTAAACCGCAAACCTTGTGTCCACCAGTGGTTTCTTGTGTTTAAAATAAATAGCAAAAATTAGTAAGCCTTTCTTGTATCATATTTTTGTCATTTGCACCCAGAAGCAAAAGGGAAATCCTACACTGGAAGTGGAATTGCTTCTACAGTTTTGAAGCTGGAAACATCTGCACTTTGAAAATTAAACCAATGTGGAATTTAAAGACGGTTGTTTTAAGTTCCAATAAACTTAATAAAAAAGATTTCAGAGGTGATTACAAGCACTCGAGTAAAATATACCCTGTTTACAAGAGCTGCAGTAAATCCTAGGCCTATCCTAGTCCATCTATTCTGAATGTAGATTGCTAGTTTGCAGAAAGTCTGAAGAAAAGGAAAATATTGCTACGGAATGGTTACCGATGTGGGATTTTACATGGTACTTGAGGAACTGCAAATTCCTCAAGGGATTATAAGAAGATGTAAATATCTGATGATATCTTTGGTGGACATTGAAAGCTGGATGGTACCTTTCCTATGGTAAAATTAGAGGCATCAAATGATTGAGAACATGATTACAGATCTAAGCTCATCATTAACTGTACGCAGAATTCAAAGGGATCCAGGAATGACCTTTTCCTGTTTCAATTAAGTATTCAGTCATGTGATAACATTATTAGTTAATTTACTAAATAAAAGCATCACTCATGATATCCGGCAGCAGAAAGTGTAAATTCTTCCTCTTCTTAGTACTTAGCCTAAAAAAAGTTTAGTTCCCAACTAGGGAAGGTAAGTTCATTTTTACTGAGTTGCAAATAGTATTCAATCACTAGATGCAAAATCTATTGTTTATGGGATCGTTTTTACACATAATTGGAAAACATTATGGAAATTATTAGTTAAGCATACCACCAACAATAATGAGACATTCCCAATACAAATTGCTTTTGATAAATAGAAATAGTTTGCATCACAGCTTTCTCAGAAGTATGAGGGAAACGCGAATCAGCTAGGCAGGGTAACTTCATACCTCTGCTGATAAATCTCTCCTTGATTCATGCGGTGTAAGAAAGTTGGATATTTTTATTCAGCATGTGCTAAGATTGAAGTTGTTGCAAGTTACGCACAGAGTGAAAATTCAACCAGTTCACTTTCCATTCCACGGTGCCTACCTTCACCAAGGCCGCTGTGCCTTCCCCGCCTGCCTGCCGTGCCTTTGTACTGCTCACTTCCTCATCTTCACCTCAAGCCTTCCTTTCTACCCAGAATCGATCTGCTTTCTTTTTTCTAAAGAAAAACGCAAGCAGAGAAGAAAAAAACCAAACAACTGGTAGAAGGTCAGTGGACGGAATGAAAGGAAGTATAGGGCGGGGTGAAACATCATTTTCATACTGCTGCAGCAGCAAAAGTCTGGGCTCCAAGACCCATCCACCATCACCACCAGTACTGGTTGGTGCCTTCCATCCTCCTCCAGGTGCCTCCCTCCATCCTTCCAGCCTTCAGGCCGGCTCCTGCCAGGGGGGCCATCCCTCGTCCCCTCCAGCGCGCAGGTGTCCCCCCTGCTCCTCACCGACCCCTCACTCCCGCTCACCCCCTTCTTGTAGAAAACCTCCATGTTCTCCAAGGACGCTCACACTCATGCTCCCCGCCTCTCGGCACCCCAGGAGGCCACCTCCCCGCCCGCGCCCCGACACCCCGCCAACAAGGAGCCAAGGGCCGCGGCAGGCGGGACCCGGTGACCCTCACGCATCCATGCGGGAGGCGGCAGGGGACGGGGCACCCGCGGTGCCGGAGCGCGGCCGCAGGGCTTTTGGCGCGGCGGCGGGCCTCTCCCTCCTCCTCCTCCTCCCCCCACAGCCGCCTCTGCCTCCTCCCCGCCCGGGAGGATGCTGCTGCAGGCGGGGCGGTGGGGAGGG